AGAAAGAAAGAAAGAAAGAAAGAAAGAGAAAGAAAGAAAAAGAAAGGGAAGGAGGAAAGGAAGGGAGGGAGGGAGGGGGAAGGAGGGGAAGGAGGGAGAAAGAAAAGAAGGAAGAAAGATTGCATAATGTTCACTCAATATTGTGAGTTTTAGGAGAAATTTTTCAATAGTAACTAAAAGCATATGAGTGAATGACTGTTAGTGAATTTTATTTCTATTCTTCATGGAAAACCAATGCAACTTTCAAATAGCCAAAATTTTCTTGACTGGTTGAGAAGTAGATATAAATAAAGTTCTCCATTCATCTGTGGAGCTTTCTACAATTCCCATCTTATATTGAGCTCTTGAGTTTCACCTCTGTGGGACAGTATTTGAACTTTGAAATCTGCCTTCCCCCAAATACAGCAGAATCCAATGTAATTCAAAAACACTGAAGAAATAGTCCAGTGAAAACATTTGTTTTAATAATTGACCAGAGAAAATTTAAAGTAATATTTAAAGGAAAGTTATAAGCTATTTATTATTAAGATGGGTGATTAATTATTAGGCAAAAATTAAACAGAAAAATATCTAAATGCTAAAATGAGATCCAAGTTGAATATAGGTCAATAAGATAGAGCTCTTGTATCTTTTTTCAATAACTATTATTTTAGTATGTCATAAGATCATACTTTATAGAGTTATGAAGACAAATATGCCCTAGAATACTGCTCTCAGTGATCTTCCAGTCAAAGAAGGGGAATGAAGTAAATGCCATAATATCCATGCCATCCAAAAGAATGCAGCCCTATTACCTTCCTTATTAAATGGTTGTCATGAATATTAAGTGACTCCATATTTGTACAGTGTTTAAAACTATCTGATATATAGTAGTAAACACTATACAAATATTTATTAAATCAATAAGTAAATACATACAATATATGTGCCATAACATAGGCACAGGCAAACATGAAAATTGTAGATTGATAACAAATGGTTGAAAAGATCCAGGAAGATTTCTTAAAGAAGAGATATATGATGGGTGGAAAAACTGACAACGGAACTTATTAAAGTTACTAAAGCAAAAGGAAACACCATTAGTCCAGACATGAACTTGAGATAAATTTGTAAAATCATAAATAGACATAGGAGATGAGTATAGCTTGCAAGATTTGGCTTTAGAAGTGAATTAGGCAGTAGTGGAATGTAGAGGATGCTTTTGTAATATTTGTTAGTCTTGTAATATTTGGTGACACTTAAAGGGAGACAAATCCTCTTTGAAGTAATCAACCAATCTTAACCAGAGTCAAATGTGTAGCTATGTATTGATAACAAAGAACTATCATACATGACTTCAGCAATGGTTAATATTGCTGCTTTGCTATTCTTATAAGATAAATTCCTTATAAAATAAGGAATACCTATTTTATAAGAAATATTATATACTTATTTTATAAGGAAAAGCTATCAATAGCTTTTTGTTTGTTTGTTTTTTGCCTTCAAATTAACATGTTTAGTCTTAAAGCTGTTGACTAAAGAACGGCCAATCTGTTTAGCCAACAGTTTCGTAGAACCACCTCCTTTCTCACTCCTTTCCACATCAAGTTTATGGAGAAACACCTAATGGAGAATAAAGGGTCAACTCTAATTTCTTCTCTTAGAGATGAATTTCTCTTTCGATGTTCTATCTCCAGCTCAGACTTTCTCTACTGGTTGACTGGGAGCTGATTGAGGGCAGAGTCCATTACATCTGTTCTTGTAGCCTCAGAATCTAGCCCAGCATCTTAGAGTAAATCCTTAAGAAACTGTGGCTTAGGTTGGCTTGATTGGCTTGGATTGAGTTGGGTTGGACTGGATTGGATCCAAGTGAATAAGAAGTCAAACATTTCCCCTGTTCTTATAATTTTTAAAACAATTTCTTATTTGGGTATAGAGTGAAAAATACATAGAGTATTTTTATCTATAATATATCTTAAATGGTCCCTCTCTATCATCAGTTATTACAAGCTCCTTTGTCTGTAGACTACTGTAAAGAGCCTGTATCCAACCAATCAGATTTGATTAAAAAACTAAATATAAATTCATCATGGTAGGCTGATAAATTATAATGAATGAATTCCATCAAGAGGTATTATTACTTAAAGTAAAACTAATTGAAAGTGTAAAGCTTTAAATAAACACTGTTTAAAAATAGCTCATCATGTAGATGTTGTTAAAACCTTGTTGTATCACAAATCTAGAGATGCAGATAGCCTTCTTGAAGAAATATATGAGACTTTTGGTATAATTAGTTCACTTAAAGAGACAGAAAAAACCCTAACTTACCATACACCAAACTGATAGAATAACTGAGTACATTTACATATTTGCATCATGGATACAGATCTTGAAGTGTAAATAATATGCCACATTGAGTTGCTAAGCAACTCTTTCTACCAGGTAGCAAAGTTTTTCCTTAAAAGGACAATCTTACAACAAAGGAATGAGCTGCAAACTCCTGATTTTTAACCAATACTGTTTAAATCCACACACTTTGAATGAATGAAAATTCTAATAGTTCCTTGTAAATGAACAGCTCAGAGTAGCTCTGTCACTTGATTCATTCATTTACTATATATAACACAATTAAAAAGTGATTTAGAGCTAAGGTAGCAAAGGGGGGAACTTTTAAATTTTATATCTTTCTAGTTATTATCTCACACAATGATTTGGAAAGTCTCACTGAAAATCATATTTGGCCTAAAACAAAATAGACCGTATTATTTGTAACTGAAGACATTTCTTAAGAGGTTTTCAGATATGTAATTCAACATAGAGTGTCTAGAATCTTCATGGTTATGCTTTCAGCTCTCATGTATTGATAAAATTTATTCTTTATGAGCTCGCTGATACTCGGGGGAAAAAAAGTGTATGTGCTTTATTCCCATTGATTCTCCTTTTGCTGTTTTTCTATCTTAGTGGATAGACCTAAGGAGTATTCTGTTGAATTGTTGCAATTAAGTCATAAGACGGAAACAAAGCCTTTTTTTTCCAGACTTTATAAGACCTTGGAGACTATGAAGATAGGAGGATTGTTTTTCCAAACGTAAAACAACAGGATGGGCAAGACATAAAGGGCTACCTACCAAATGATTTCATTTATGTCACACTCAGAAAGAGACACAATTAATGTTTGGTCCAGTTAAGATAGTTACTTATCCTTGGGGTCAGGCTTCTTTGATGCTGGTAAATGGTGTGTTTCTGGCTGTGGACGCTGGTTACATGAGTGGGGTCAGTTTGTAAGTATTCACTAGCTATTCATTTATCCTTGGGGTATATGCTATACCTCAATAAAAAGCCCAAATCACCATAAATAAAACAACAGAAACGGGCTCATATTAGTTACAAACCACAATAGTTGTGTTGTCCCAAATCATAAGCCTGGTTAGCAGCATAACCAGCATTTTGGATCTTCTGCTTCCCTGTCTTGTGATTTATTTTTTTCCCAGTCACAAGCTGTGCTAACTTCTGAGGCCCATGACAGCCTGCTGGCAGGAAGCCTGTTAACCTTTCCCTGTGAACTAACACTGTTTGCCATGTTAACAGGCGAGTTGTGTGAGGAGAAGCTGGACTTCTGTGCCCAGGACCTGAACCCCTGCCAACATGACTCCAAGTGCATCCTGATGCCAAAGGGATTTCAGTAAGTCAGAGCTATGTGCGGCTCACAATGCAGGACGCTGTTTTTCTTCAGGGACCTGTCTTCCTCACCTTCCTTTTAGGACCTCACTTCACACCTTTGCTCAGGACGAAAGGAACATCCTCCGGTGTCAGTGGCATTTTTATAAACGTTCCTATACAGCATGGACTTCATTTATTTATTTTTTTTTTTTAGTACAGGAGAAAAAATAAAAGACAGCATTTCCATTTGTTTCCTGGCTCTTCCTGGGAAGTCGTGCATGAAATAAAGTAGACTTTTACTGTGTTTACTTAAATGTATTTGAAAGCCAAATAAATTTGTAATATATACTAGGTGCTTAATTATCTGAATGTGAGTTTGTGGTACGTAGGAAGTTTAGTTGAAAGTGAGATTTTTTTGGCCAGCACCCATTCTTAACTATCTAAGGTGAGGAAGGTAGAGGGACCGACCGTATGTCCCAGGATGCCCGGGGACAGTCCCAGTTTATGCTTATTGTCTCAGCATCGTTATTAATAGTACCCCTTTCACCTTAGATTTGTCTTGTGTGGGATGATAGAACAGACAGTCATTCTAGATAGAGGGCTCCCTCAAGTAAACCCAGATCTTTAAAATTACTTCTTTTTCCTCCTCAGCAATCTTCCTGAAATATGTTTGGTATCAAATTAAATTATTCCTTTGCCACAATCCTGAAATAGTTTAAGGGTCTATCAACAGCAACTTCTCTTCTTAGAGTGGACAGTAGTTTAGAGATCATCTGCTCCAAATTCTTCATTTTAAACATGTGGAAAACAGGACCCAGACAGGTCGGTGGCTGTCCAAAGATCTCAAGGCTATTCATTGGCAGATGTGGGAGCTGGGTTTTCTATTTCCCAGCTGGGTGATTTTTCGAAAACAGGTTACCTCTAAGATATTTCGTAGTTTATTAACATTACTGTTGGTTTGTTATAGAAGGTAATTTGGATTCTCAGGAATGATACAATTGGGTTCAAGAGTGGAGCTGTGCTTATATCAGACAACTAGCAAATAGAATGATTTGTTCTTTTACCCAGTATTGATTGAGCACCTACCATGGGTCAGGGCATGTGGTAATACCACCATCTTATGTAGTGTTTTATAGCTACTCACATTCACATACTTTATCTTCTCGGTAAAATGACCCAGGCATAATTGCCATAGGATTCAAAGAATTAAAGATTGCTTGGGTGGGGAACAGTTTTATAAGATGGGAATTGAGCTGGAACTCTAACATTTTGATAGTTGTCCACTGATTATCAGATACTCTAAGTTGAATGGGAGGTAGGGTCAGTGTCTCCAGACCTGCCTTTCTGAGATCAATCTGAATAAAATGCGTATTCTCATTTTATTTACAGAATATTTTTTATTCACTTTGGTTTAAAATATGGTTTTAGAATATGCAAACACAGTTCTAGAATATACAAATACAGGGGTGCCTGGGTGGCTCAGTCGGTTAAGCATCCAACTCTTGGTTTCAGCTCAGGTCATGATCTCGCAGTGGTGGGATGGAGCCTGGCGTCAGGCTCTGCACTCAGCATGGAGTCTGCTTCTGATTCTCTCTCCCTCTCCCTCCCTCCCTCCCTCTTTCCCTCTCTCTCAAATAAATAAAATCTTAAAAAAAAAGAAACAAATATAGTTCAGTACCCACTGATTCCATTTGATACCTTATTGGAAAAGAAAAGAATATCTTTGATTCTACTTTCCATTATATTTTAGTTTACAGCCCTATGCAAAAACCAGAGGTCTTATTGAAATATTTATTTATACAAGATTCTGCATTGCATTTTGTTCATCCAAGTACTATACGTAAATTATTTTAACTCTTAATGTCTTTGATCTGCCCACAGTTGAATTTAGCAAAATGAAAATCCACCACTTAAAAAAAAAAAAAAAGAAAGGAAGGAAGGAAGAAAGAAAGAAAGAAAGAAGGAGAAAGAAAAAAAAGGAAAAGCCACCACTTACATACATAACAAATATTATAATTTTTCAGAGAAATTCGTCAGGAAAGCAGGTGGTTTTCCAGAACTGCTTATCTGCATTGCACATGTCACAGGGCTTTGTGCATCATAATTACAAGATAAAGAATCCATAGGACTTAAAGGAAACTATTAAAAAAATAAGGGAGTTTGTCTTCAAAAAGACGACTCCTTAATTCAATATCTTCTCTTACCATCGATTAAATTACACACGCAGAAGTGCATCTTACTGGCTTATGGGCAAGCTGATTTGGACACCCATTATTTTCAGCAATAATTTGTGAGCTTGTTTTATAGCTGTTATTAGTTTAGCAGAACGCAGGTAAAGTCACGGTGTATGCTGTTACTCTCATATTGTAAGCAACTGCACATTTTGAGAGAGGGAGTTGCAAAAAAGAAAATGGGCTTAAAACCCAAAACTATATGAAGCTGCTAAAGAAAACCTCTACTGACAAATGTTGTTTGGACAAACTGTACTGTTTCTTCAAATTCATTTTCTTATTACTAAGCTACAGAGCTGGTTTTACTTTTCTTGCTTTATTATATACCTCATAAATCTCTTAAATTACTTTGAGATATTTTTAGACCGTGATATGCCATAAGTAGTATTCAAGCATGCGTCTTTCTTAGTCAGCTGTTGGGCTTTTCCACCGAATAATTTATGCTTTTTGCTTTCTTCATCACTTCTTGGCAGATAATAGAGTTGAAGGAGTGGGAGAGGTTTTATTGATAATACAAACCTTAAGGAATTCTTAATTAAATATTTTCTTCTGTTTTGAAATTTGATCTGAGGAGCAAGAGAAAGACAAAACAAAAAAAAAAATGGTGGTCAAAACGTGACTCCAAGTTCTAATGGCTTGAAAAATAGTAATTGTTGAGAAGAGAATATAAAATAGCTCTTAGCCACTGGTGGTGAGTTTGTGGTTCTTTTATCTTTTACTTTGATTTCTTTTCTCAGATAAATAATTCAGAGTGTTTCAAAGCATTTCTTCTTTCTTTTAATGCCTGGCATTTCAGTGGTTCTGCTCACATTAACATTGATGGAAGCTCTCTCCCCAGACTTTGTCCATCTATTTGAGGACGTATTTGGCCACTTAAGATCCATTTAACTTCAGATGTGTTGTTTACTTTGCTGTGTTATGATTTAGTATTAAAACCGCTGGCTCTTGAGCAAGCATGCTTCTGCAGTGAGCTCATTTTATTTCCTAATTCATACATGCAGAGCTGAAAGTCTGTTCTCCTCAGAGTCTATATATCCCCATTTATTTTAATTCATCAGCCCTCTGGTAACTCTTAAATCCTGATTTTGCAGTTTTCAGAGAAAACCCTTGGTGTTCAGTAATGTCCACATTCACTTCGGCATTTTTTAATTATCCTCATTCACTTAAATCCTAATGGCTTTGAAATAGAAAACTGGAAAATTAGTCAAGACTAAACCACAAAGACTTTTATAGAATTATGAAGACTTAATAGAATTATTGTTTAAATCCTTACCATTTATTGATCATGCATTATATATCAACCCACTATACTGAGTCTTTTACAGATAGTGTTTTATTTAATCTTTTAACAAACACGTGGAAATTATTTTGTACCGTGAGGAAGACATGAACACCTAGGAGGTTTAAGTAAAGTTAGTCAGGATTGCATAAATGTAGAGATGAAGTCAGGATACAAACCCAGTTCGTGTAACTGCAAAGTCCAAATTCTATAAAGCTAAATAAACTGTAGGTTCCTGGTTTGTTTTTTTTTTCTAGAGTCAGTGAGCCCTCTCTTAAACCCCAAACAGAAATGCTCATGGAAGCCCAACATGTAAAACTAATAAATCCAACAGGAGAGTGTTGCGGGAGACAGGTGGGAAGCAGGAAGCTGCCAAAAGCCTCCTTCCCTTCTCTGGTCCCTTATCGCTCCCTCAGAGCATCTTTGAAAACCACTGCACCTGCCACGCTGCTTTTCCTCCGGCAACTATAGAGTGCTTCATCCTTCAGTGGTTAGAAATCCAGGCTCTCTTGCTAGATTGCTTGGGTTTTCTACCTGGCTGTGGCACTTACAAGTTGAATGCCCTTGGGTAAGGTCCTTAACCAGTCTGTCCTTCAGTTCCCTCATATGTCAAGTGAAATAGTGGACCCTGGAGCAGGATTCAAGGAGTCCAGGACCCTGGAGAAGGATTCAGTGAATCCACATATGCCAAGTGGTTAGAACAGGGCATGGCACGGAGGACGCACTCCAAGAACGCCGGGTGTATATTCTCTCTGGTTCTTCACCGTCAGTGCGGCTGGGACCCCTTCTTCCCTTCTGCCCCTAGAGTAAACAATCAAGCTCAGAGCTGTCAGTGGGATTGACCCCAGGAATTTTTTTTTTTTTATCAGTTTCCCTGTTCTACTCCATTAGGTCAGCCCAGCTCTGACATAAGGAGTATCTGGATTCATTATGAATTAGGGTGTCCAATGTTGACATAAATTTTTTTTCATAAAATTGTATTTTACTCCAATACATCCCTTCTCTACGAGAAAACAAAACCATTAATTAGTTTTAAAATATGTTTAATATTCTTAGTAAATTTTACAACATAGCATTTTTTTTTTTTTTTTGGTTTCCACTGTTCAGAGGAATCAGAGCAAATGAAAACAGAGGACACTATAGGCAAAAGTAGTGGGGACAGAGGGAGGGAGGGGAGCGAGGATGGAGGAGGGAAGGAGGGAGAGGAAGGGAAGGATGCTGGAGGAGGGGGAAGGAAGAGGGAGGGAGGAGGGGAGCAGGAAAGCAAACACGAGAGGGAGAAGGGAAGAAGGAAGGATGGGTGGGAGGGAGGAATACAGGCGCAATTCTGTGCTCATTGGGATTGTGGATGGACGCCATCATCATAGTCCTAACCATCCCTCCGACAGATCACAGTGAGAAATCATGGAATAAGTTTCCTAGGCATCCATTAATTCCAGGGCTCTAGCACTCTGTTCACGTGAGTTTTGCATTTTTTGCTTTCATTTTCACTTATTTTTCTTGAAGTAGAGTTGACACACAATGCTACAGTGGTTTTAGGTGTACTCAGTAAGTTTGCAAAGACAGTGCCAATTTTTCTAGATGAAATGCAACTGTTTTACTTACTTTGGCTGAGTTGGGTGTGAAACTATGTACGTGCTTGCTCAAACAGGTGCGACTGCACACCAGGGTATGTGGGTGAGCACTGCGACATTGACTTTGATGACTGCCAAGATCACAAGTGTAGAAACGGAGCCCACTGCACGGATGCAGTGAACGGCTATACGTGCATCTGCCCTGAAGGTTACAGGTAAAAGTAGAAACAGAGGTTTGTATTTAGAGTTCAGTCTCACAGAAAGGTTTCAGCTCATCTCGGCAATTAAGTAAAAACAATGTGCTGTTGCTCTGTTTTCTTTAGTGGCCTGTTCTGTGAATTTTCTCCACCCATGGTCCTCCCTCGAACCAGCCCCTGTGATAACTTTGATTGTCAGAATGGAGCCCAGTGCATCATCAGGATAAATGAGCCCATCTGCCAGTGTTTGCCGGGCTACCAGGGAGAGAAGTGTGAAAAGTTGGTCAGCGTGAATTTTGTCAACAAAGAGTCTTATCTTCAAATTCCTTCAGCCAAGGTCCGGCCTCAAACGAACATCACCCTACAGGTAAGCGGTGCCCCCCCGGAGCAAGAGCTGATTTCATCCTCAACCACCTTCCAGTTCAAATCATCAACATCCATGGTGGTTCAGGAGTGATTTTTTTCTTAAAGAGACAGTTACCATCGTCATAACAAAGAAAATGCTGTGTGAAAAGCTTTATTCTTCTCTCCAACATTTGTGTTTTTCAAAACTACAGGGGAACCAGGTATTTTTATTCACTACTTGATTGTGAAACACAGAGAGAACAACAAAACATGTTTTGGGCTCTGGTGAATGGGGCAGGGGCTCTGCAAGGGGTGGGGGCTTTTCTTAGGAGACTTGAAGGTGAGGAGAGCAGCAGTGAGACCACACCTTGACAAAACATTCAGCCAGTGCCTTTGAACTCTTACGCAGAACCTTTACGAAGTGACGTGAGGGCGCCTCGATGGCTCAGTCTGTTAAGCGTCTGCCTTCAGCTCAAGTCATGATCCCAGGGTCCTGGGGTTGAGCCTGCTCAGCCAGGAGTCTGCTTCTCCTTCTGTCTCTCTGTTCCTCCCCCCGGCTTTGGTTCTCTCACTCACTCTCTTTGTCTCTCAAATAAAAAATCTTAAAAAAAAAAAAAGTGACATGAATTGAACAAACTCAAATGTTATTGTAAGACTTTTCACCAAGTCACCTGTCCCTTTGAGCCAGTTAGTCAGACTCGTGCCGAGGAGGTGAGACTGGATGAGGAGTTAGGAATTCAGGACACATGGGGCAGGTTGGGGCTGCATGTTTGTTTTTTGTTTTTTGTTTTTTTAATCTGGTAAGAAAAACATTTTAATGTATTTTGAATTCAAATGACTTTAGCAGATTTCCTATAGATGCCACCCCTTATTTGGTTTACCCTGACACCCCAGTACCATGAGGAATGGGACTCAGGAAGACAGGCAGGCTTTCCCTGTCTCCCTCCCTTCCAACATTTGCCTCACCAGATTGTTACGAGAAGGTACCTAGCAGGGTTCAGGTGTAAGTCCCAATTTTTACCAAATTGGTCCTTTAAAAGCCCAAAAAGGCCAAAAAGCAGGAGAAAAACAGAGATTTTCTCCTGTTCATGCCCTCACAGTGATGAATAGGAACAAAAAGACCGGGTAAATGAAAACCTCCAGCAGAGAAAGTCTTAGGTACGTCCCAAGGTATTTCCTTAAGTATCTGTTACTGGTTTTGTTTTTTAATTCTTTATGAACTTACCTGCATCAAAATAATTTAGGAACAGGTCACCTTTCAAGTCCTCATTTCTGTCTGCCTTGCATTGTTACTTTCTCACAGCCATAAGGGAAAAATCAGCTAAGAGTAAAAACTCTGCACTGAGCAGTCTGGCTTCTTTTTGGTGACTGTGCATCCTACTAATGTCAGGGTTACTTCCTACCAGATTGCCACAGATGAAGACAGCGGAATCCTTCTGTATAAGGGCGACAAGGACCATATTGCCGTCGAACTGTACCGGGGACGGGTCCGTGCCAGCTACGACACCGGCTCACACCCGGCTTCTGCCATTTACAGGTGAAGGTCTCTCAGTAACTGGTAGAGGTGAAAAGTGGTTCAGTGAGAAGCCGTGGCTCCTCTGTTATTCTGTAATGGCGAGAGGAGGGAATAATTGGGCTATAGCAGCCATTATGATAAGTGTATTACTTAGAGGCCTGGCAGGAACAGATGTCATGCTCAAGTTGGATAATGGAGGAGAGATTCTCAAGGGGACTTCTTATAAAGATTGTTAGCGTACAGTAACTGGGGGGACAGTAACGAGGGATACAGCTACTCCCCCCCCATTCTTGAAGGGGCGAGTGGGGGCAGCAGTTATGGAAATCCATGCTCAGAATAGGACTTGTGTCTCTGACTGCCTGGCAGCCGCTGTGACCTTCAGTGAAGGGATGAAGTCAGTCCTCAGAGAAGGCACCGGGGTTTTAAATATCCAACCTCACTCTTCTTCTGCCCAACACGGCCCTGCCTGGGCTCCCCTTTGACCAAATCGGATTCCAGAAAAAAAGAAATCCGCTGACTGCAATAATATAGTTTGCTCATGAGCCTCCCAGGGCCCAGAGCAGGGTGAAGACAGGTGGAGAGTAGCTCTAGAGAAGAACCTGCAAGATACCCAGTACAGTGAGTCATTTAACATTACCTTTCATGCAACGCATATTTACTGAGCACCTACTATGTGCCAGGCATGGATCCAAGCTTTAAGGAACAAAGACCTTGCTCTTAGGGAGATTACACAGAAGAAGCCAATGGACACATACAATATGTGATTGGCAATGTTATTTAATTTGCAAGTTTTCTAATAATGTAATAAGATTGATGATATTTTGAAGTTATGAAAGGAGTGGTATTCATGGGACATAAATTTTGCTGGAATGGGACATAAGTTTTGCTGGAAATGTGCTTTTTGCATAAGATTAACCTTCAGAGCCTTCTGTTGGATCTCAACAACAGTTCACTATCATCTTACACCAAGTTACCTAGTTTACTTATCCACCTGTAGAAGTAACTGACACCAGTTAGAGCAAGGTCACCAAGTCATATACGGTCAGTTTCTTTTCAGGCAGGTAGCTTAAATAAACTAATCAGGCCAGTTGCTAGAGAAGAATATGTTCTCATCATTTGACTCTTGAAAAGATCTAACTTAGAAAGTTACATTGAGGTTGGTAACATAACAGGAGCCTTTGTGTCTGGAGTGAACTAAAAGCAAACTTTTGTCAAAACAGGGCCAGACTACATCCACACAGTTCTCCCTGAATGCTGCCATGGGAAAATGTGGGCTCCAGTTTTACCAGAACTCTTATTTTTCAAGGAAAGGCATAAATTTGGATTTTTTTTATATAAAGTATTCCATCCTTTAAGTATTGATTGACATTTTTGTTAAATACCGTATGTGGTGAACAAAATGCATCTGTAAGCCAAACATGATCGGCAACAAATTTCGGGGCATTGGCTAGGACATAAAGTTGGAGAAACTGGCCTCTACATTATTGATGTATATATTGATGTGCTTCAAAAGCCTTCTCATCCTATTTGAGACTTTATAACAGTTCCAGGAAAGTAGATTCCAATTGGTGAGTCCTTTTGGTGGTGAGCTAACCCACTTGGGAATATATAGAGCATGGAAACAAACACATAATTACTGGTTTCCAAATGGGATATGAATTTCATCTCCAAGTGGTGATGAATTAATGCCAACATTTTAGATATTGCTAGGCCTTAAATTATGTAGCCTCAATTTGTTTCAGTCCATCAAAAAGTTTCCGAATATTGATTTTGTGCTCCATTTTTTTTTTTTACTTTTTTGTTCTATTATATGCAACAGAAGAGCATAGAACTCTCTGAAACCATAGTAAAGGTCCTTGAGGTTGGCTTATTAAAGTTAGTGTTCACATAAAATATACTTAAAATGTTTCTAGATAAGTTGTAGAAACCCACATGATTATATCACAATGAGAAGTTACCATAAAGAGCTCGTTTTGAGTTTATATTCTTAACCATTTTTGCCTAACAAACAGTACAGCGTACCATGGGATGTTTACAAAAAAAGAATAATATCACATGGCACACTTTTCATTATGAACCAGAAGTCTACTTCTCTGTTTGCAGATCATCTAATGGAGACATCTTGGTTTATGGTTTATGGCTCAGAAACCAAGAAAAGTTATCACATTATTTTTAAGGAAAAGAAAAGCAGCAATTACCTAGGACTTAGGTAGAGAGATGATTGATTGATATGGATTATGTATATAAAATGTGCATATTACATATAGATATATAGATATAGATATATTCATACACCATTATGGAATAGAAAAAATGCTTCTTTGAAATAGAAGCTATAGAGAAAAATTAAATTATTTCAACACACTAGGAGATTTAACCTTTGACAAGTAAAAAAACATAGTGGCTAAGATATGTTTTCAGACCTAGGCTTGGCCAATTACTAGTGGATAAACTTGGAGCAGATACTTAATCTTTCTGTGACTCAGAAATCCTGTCTATAAATAATAATACAGCACATACCTGGTTAGGTCCCTCTGAGGATGAAATTCCAAACTCAGCTCCATGCTCATTTCTCCACTCACATTGTCCTCATTCTCATCTATGTTATAGCAAGACAGGAAAATTTTTCTGGTATCTCTTTCTGGAGTATAGCAGAGGACTTCTAGCCTTATACCATAACACGAGAAGTACAGGTTGTTTACATCATCTATAGAACGCTGTTTGAAAATAACTATCCAGATTACAAATATACTCCTTGACCTCTGAAATCCCCTTTCTGGGAATTTATGCTACAGATAGACCTGAAGATAATTGATATGTGCACATGTACTCACCGTGGCATTGCTTGTAAAAACAAAAGTTAGGAAACAGCCCAAGTTTCCATCTAAATAAACTATGGTACATCCACACAATGGAATGTACTGTTAAAAAGTAAAGGGAAGGAGGGAGGGAGGAAGGAGGGGAAGGAGGGGAAGGAGGAAGTTCTCAGTTGGTTGAGCGGCTGCCTTCGGCTCAGGTCATGATCCCGGGGTCCTGGGATCGAGCCCTGTGTCAAGCTCCCTGCTCAGCGGAGAGCCTGCTTCTCCCTCCCCCTCTGCCTGCCTCTCTGCCTACTTGTGCTCTCTATCTCTCTGTCAAATAAATAAATAAAATCTTTAAAAAAAAACAAAAACAAAAACAAAAATTGAATAGAAAAGAGCAGATGCTTTAAAGACAGCCTGCCTTGATTCAGTCTCAGCTCTGCCATCGATTCACTGCGTGCCATGAGTAAATTGCGTAAGCTCTCTGGGCCTCACCTGGTAAATGGGTATAGTAAATCATAGTTCCATCTTTGTAGGATTGTAGTAAGAATTTTATGATTTGATACACAAGAAAATATTTAGAACAACACATACCAAATAGTAAACAATGCTAGCTATTTGGATCATAAAGTTAGACTGTCCAAAATGTAGTTCATTTCCTTTGCTTCACCCAAACCCATGTCCCTGTCATTCCTAATTTCATTGAGAAGCAGCACCATCTTCTTGGGCACATAAGTGTAATGGAGTAATTCTTACTCTTTTTCTTTCCTTTACCTCCAACTTGAAATTTGTTCCAAGTCTTAACTCTGCTCCTACTATTTTCTGGTATTTATTCAAATGCCTCTGACCTGGCTCAGAACTTACTAAAATGTGACCTCTGATGACAGATATTACCTCTCCATCATTATAGAGAAACCCATCAATAACATGTTGCCATCAGCTTCCCATAAATTGCTTAACAATTATTATGTTTGGTTGAATTAAATGTTCGAATCTTGATGTGTTTCTGTTTTACATAACATTATTAAAAGTACACTGTTTTAAAAGGGAGTATTTTTACATATGCTTACACCAGAGAATTTGTTCAGTTTAATGGCGTGATTTTATGTTATATAACATTGACTTTAGTGAAAACTCATTTTCCAAATTGTGCATTATTTAATGTGCTGTTGGAAAATTGCTTATGGGAATAATTTTGTGTATCAGGTGTGTCTTTTCAGTTGCCTGGTTACTCTTCAACATGGATGGAGATGGATTTTGTTTATTTTAGTAAATGAAATCTGATAAAATTAGGGGGAAATAATTCTACATTAAGTTCTGTATTTTTTTATTTTTTTATTTTTATTTTTTAAAAGGCTTCATTTTAGATGCCTTTAGATTTCAGTGTGTTAAATGAATTGATGTGAGAACCATGATGTCATGGAATTATGTCTAGAGAAAGTACTTAACACAGCTTTAAGTGTGTTTAAGAGAACCCAAGATGTAGTAATTATTCCTTCTTCCCAGTACTGAAGTAGCATGTGCACATTTTCTCATTTTATTTCTTCTATCGGACAGAAGTCCAACATTTCTTACAGACCTGCATAGTGCTCACAGACCTGCTCACTGCAGGCAGTGGTGAGAAGCTATTGTTTTCCAATAACGTGCATCAAAATCACCCAAAAAGTGTGTTAAAGAACAGATGACTGGTCCACCTCTCGTTTCTGATTCAGATCTTGGATGAGCCCCCAAAGTTTTTCATTGTAACAAGTTCCCAGGTGATGCTCTGGTCAAGGGAGCACAATTTGAGAACCACTTGTAGAAAAGGAATATATTTGAGCTGTGCTCTGAGAGGCGGTGGTGTGCATCTCTTCCCATATCCAGAGTCCAAGACCTCATGCTTGAGGTTGGCCTTGAAACCAGCCCTGCTGGGAATACGTCCACCACTGAGGTCCACAAATGCTACAAGTCCGGGCTCTTTTTCTTATCTCAGAGAGCCAGTTGTTATATATTTGCCAGCATCCTGCTGTCTGAGGAATCAGCAAAAACAGAGATGACATAAGCTACTTAACAAGTGAATAAAGTAGAATATCACACACAGGCCGAATTTTTATAGTGCTTAGCGAATAGCATAAAGAGCAACTTGGTAATAATGCCATGAACGAATGACAGCCCTCAGATAGGGGTGGAGTGACACATTTTTTTTCTCAAGTAGACTAATAATTGCCCTTCAGAGTGACT